CTCCAGAGAACCAACAGGAAGCCTGTGTGACCCAAATATGTTACAAACTGAGAACAAGATGAAAAAATTGTAAGAGAAGCAGCAATAAAAACCCATAAGAATACATTATCCATTCCTTCATTTGCTGTATTTATTTATTTATCAGATTCATAGCCCACTTTTCTTCTCAAAATGGGAGTTTCTTACTAGAATGGCAAAGATCTGCTTTTCTTATAGCTTAGAAAGTTACTTTTTAACAGTAATTTGTTCCCATTACTTATTACAACTGGGACTGAAAAGTAGTCTGCTGTTACTCAAAACAACACTGAAAAAGTTACATATTGCATAACTTGGTAAATGTCGATTACTTTCCGTCAGGTTTTGTTTTGGGTTGATGATAGCATTAGGATTGATAAGAGAATGACAAAAACCTGGACATTTCCTGTAGAAATGCTTTCTACAGGTAAATCTTTCAAATTGTTTCTTGTTACAGCCATCAAGAGCCGTCACTCTTACTCATTATGTTGCTTCTGAAATGTAGCATTGTTACATCCCATTAGCTCCCAAAGTATCTAGTTATCAGTAACTACATTATTGTGAATGGTTACTTTTAAGCTCTGATACTACTACATTTTAGGTGCTTTGTGACTTGATGGCTAAATTCTTAAGGCCCTTTCATACTACACAGTTGATATATCTGGGGGTACCTGTATTGGCCATGTAGTAAAGTACAATAACATCCAAAATCCATGAAAGAATGAAAGAATGATACCTTTATTGGAACAACCAAAATGCATAAAATGCATGTTGCAATCAATGTTTCTCCTGCATGATTTTTAACACCTTTACCTGATGAAGAAACCCAGTGGATCTTCAAAAGCCTGCAACGTATTTTGTGAATTTGTGAAAGATATCACATAATAAAGGCATCTCTGTTTGGTGGATTTTGGATGTTACTGCACAGTTAGAACACTATGTTTCTCCTTTAATTGTCATGGTTCCATCCTGTAGAGTCCTGGGATTTGCAGTTGAAGAAGGGGCCTTTTAGAATTCCAAACCAGAGAATTGTAGTGCCTCACCAGACTGCAAATCCCAGGAATGCATAGGATGCAGCCATGGCAGTTAAAATAGGCGATAATTGTGTGAAAGGGCCTTTAATGGTTTATTAAGCTGTATGTAGTTGATCTCATATGGCCCAGTAGACTACAGTGTGTCCTATACAATGTTTAAGTGTTCATATTTACATAGCCATGTTAGTATAAATATGTTGGGGAGAGTTGAAAGCAGCAATCCCAATATCCATTATCTTCCTATCTTTGAAGCCGGTCCAGTTATCTCTACAAAATGCAGACCGCATTGTGTTTGTTGGCAACAGAAAGCACTGGTGTCTAATCCAATAAACTTCAGTACTATATTTGGTACAAGCAATGAGGAAGAAGCAGAGAGGTGAATGTAAGTTTAGTGGAAAGAGAACAGAACTACTGGAGCCACTGCATCTAAAAGTCTGATGAAGTCTGTGGAAAAAGAAGACAATACACAAGCAAGACTGTATCTGATCTTGGCATAAGTTCCTTTTCGCGCTGGTATCACACAGACCCTTTTACTCAGATGATTCTGGCTTAGAGGGTGAGGAACAGTGTCAAATTCTGCATGCCAAGAATCCCTGTCAACGTGAAAGTAATGTTTATCTTGATGTACCCATGTTGATAGCCAACTCTTGATTTGAAGTAGACAGCTGGGCCTTCCTAGGTTCAATTCCTTCCCTATCTGCTTTTCTTCACTGGCCCTATCAAGTTCCATCTGCTTTTTCCTCTTAGGACAGATCTGCACATGCAGAACAGTTAAGTGGCAGAACGATGACTTGATACTGTGGACTGATACATTGCAGGTTGAGAATATTGTGGAAAAAATGGATTTTATCCTTTCAGATGCAAAAACTGAATAAAATGAGAAATCCCTACAAGTACAGCTTGAAGAGAGCTGGGCTATAAATTGTCCTTGATGTGCCGGTTTTCTACATACCTAGAGCATTTTATTATTTTGTATTTTTTAAATGGAAATATTCCTAAACTACTCTTCATCCTTTCATTTGAAAATGAAGCCCTTCACCAGTCAGGCTGAAATAGTTCAATCCTTTGCATTAACTTATGTAACTGTTGTTCTTTTGTGCCTTCAAGTCTTTTCCGACTTATGGTGACCCTAAAACGAACCTACCATGGCGTTTCCTTAGCAAGTTTCTTCAGAGAGGGGTTGCCATTGCCATCCTCTGAGGCACAAAGTGTGACTTTCCTAAGGTCACCCAGTGTGTTTCCATGGCTGAGCTAGATTTCGAACCCTGGTCTCCAGAGTCATGGTCCAACTCTCAAACCACCACACCATGCTGGCTCTCTAATTACAATCTATGCACATATAAATCCAGCCTGATAATAAACTCTTGTCTTTTCAAAAGAGTATTTGATACTGGTTACATGAAAGATGTACAAAAGCGCAGTTACATCCTTACAGCTAAAACAGAGTTTCCCCATTTGCCCTACACAAGTTTATTATAACAAACTTTGAAAGCCTGACTGACACATTCCCAGCTCTCTAAGTAGGCAGTAGGCTGACAGGAATCCATTCCTTGAGCTATGGACTTTTATTCATAGACCTAACAACCCCTTTAGCATTCAAACCTCCTCAGCATTATGTGTGTTGACTTACAGTGGGATGATTTTGCATTGCAGTTTTTAATTTTACAGACAGGAACCCTGAGAAGAAATATGCTGACTGGAAATTTTTAATACACATGGAAGAGTAAATAACTCAGTGCTTGAGCCATCCCAGAAGCGTATTTCTTAAAGAGAGATGACATGCTTATATGCCATTATACACAGTTATCACACAAACTGAAAGCAGAATAATATGAAAGCAAGGATAACACATGGGACGTTATCACACGGGGAGTTGCGGGAAGAAAGTGGAAATAAACCGGACAAGCGGAAGACTTTAATTTACGGGATTTACGGGATTTGTCCCGTTCCGCCTCGTCTGATAACTAAATTCGAATTTAAAAGGGGGTTAATTCGAACGCAAACCTGATCTTTTCAAATCCTCAAAAATCCCAAAAATGAAAAGATCAGGTTTGCGTTTGAATTAACCCCCTTTTAAATTCGAATTTAGTTATCAGACGAGGCGGAACAGGACAAATCCTGTAAATTAAAGACTTCCACTCATCCGGTTTATTTCCACTTTCTCCCTGCGACTCCCCATGTGATAACGTCCATGGATTAGGCATACTCTACAGATGATTTGAGATTCCTAAAATAAATAAACTTATAAAATTCTTAACTTATAATTCTCATCTCTGTTATACCCCTACGTTCCACATACTACCAACAAATTCTTCCATATAGTCATGTATCTCCGGATACATAAGCTTGAGTGGGGTGGGTGGGAAATGTAGTGCTGAACAATATATGTATATGGGGAACCAGCAGCTATTCAGTTAAACTTTTCCCAGCACTTTTCCCATTGCAGTTAGAAGTATGGGTTTTCCTATGTATAGAGCTTGCTTCACACTAGTCTTCCTTCATGTGGTTGTACATGATATTGTGGTGGAACTAGCAGTGTGAGCTGGCTCTTAGTATTTCCATGTGGCTCCCTACATGGAAATTGTCAGAACATCTCCCTATTGTCAGAACATTACCAAATTGGAGTCTTATAAGCCAGTAGATTTGTAAGTATTCACCACTAAGTGGATCCACTATGATGTCCCTCAAAAACCAAGCCCATTAATATGTTGTTAGAGATGTGGTTCATCTCTGGAGACCAGGAAGAAAGTTCTCAAAAAATGACAGATGGTGGCTCTGAAAACCATCTGGGTCTGGTCTTCTTGTATGCATGTAGTCATGAAAAATATGAGAAATATCAAACACAATTTCAGATCTGATGGGTACATTCTTACATAATGGAAAATGGTAGGTGTTATAACAGGGCAAGAAGACCAGACCCAGATGGTTTTTAGAGCCACCATCTGTCATTTTCAGCTATCTATGTCCCTCTATTTCTCTCCCACTCAATCTCCACTTTTCTCTTCTTTACTCTTTCACCTTTCTTTCCCCACTCCATCTTTTCCTTTTGTGGTGTCACTCGTGCCATACTACAGAATGAGATGGACTTTAAGGTAGAACTTGAAAGCAGATTTAACTTGGTGCAGGATAAAATTTCTCTTTTTGAGATGTAACTTTAACTTTTTAAGTTACTTCTGTAGGTTTGAGGGTGTGGCTTTACTAAATGGAGGAGAACTATTGTAGGATTCAGGTGTTGACCACCTGCAGCCAGAAGGCCACATTTAGTCCTCAGTAGTAGTTTTAAAAGGTATGAACTGAGGAAAACAGTTCCTTCTTTGTATTCCATTAGATTGGTTTTTGTGTCTGAGAGAAGAGAACTAGGGAAGGCTCATATCATGGACAAGTTACCCATTGGGACTAGATAAGGGAATTCTAAGGTGACAAACAGTGACAATATGTTTTAGTGAGATATATGAGTTATGTGAAGAGAAACCATCAAGGACTTGTTTTCCTTCCACTCTTTTTCAGTTGTATTTGGTAGTTTTAGTAGATGTTCCCCTGGTGAATTATAGGGTAGCACAGAAGAAAGGGTTTGACATTTTCTCACTTTTCCTCAGATCTTGGAATATTACTTTGGGGTAGAAAAAGGGAGGCACTCACATAAACACCAACATTTTGCAGATGACAACCAGGATTTGTGTCACCAAGCAATATCAGAGTGTGGTCAATATAGCAAAAATTTTTAAGGAGGAATAATGCATAAGCTAAGAGAGACTGCTTAAGCTTATTCTGTTCTCTCCTCTCTTCCTCTCTGGC